TGCTTACTGACTCATGCCAGATTCTGTTAAAAATCAAGTGGTTCAGAGTTCGAATCATGTTTGAACAGAGCACGCTGAAATCTTTCAAGCAAAAAAGTGGAGAACATCATTGCTTAGTAGTTCTTGACTCATTTGCAAAAGATTAAAATGCAATTAAGCGGTTGATGATTGATAATAGCTTCCTCAGCTCTGCTGAGAATCCTTCAGAGCAAGCAAGCATCTAACACTGCTGCTTGTGAAATATTTTCGTTTCAGAAATTAACATGAAGTGATGTACTTATGACCAGAGTTAAAAATCTAGTGTGTACTGCAACAGCCAAGTGATGAGCTCAGCTGTCAGGACCTAAAAGCAGGGTGTTATCAGGACAAGTCTGGCACACAGCTTACAATGTCTCACAGACAAACTCTATGTGTAGCACTAAATTAAATTTTCTGACACTGATGCTTTTTGGGAGAGAAGAAAGGATTTTGTAACTTAGATTTCAATGAAATAGTAGAGTCCTTTTCAGCTGAAGTCTCTAAGTGGTTAATACACTTTCGTTATAAACAACTTCTGCAGCCAGAGACTTTTACTACCATTAAAGTTTTTGCAGCAGTAATCTTTATCCCCTGAGGTTTTGCTGGGAGAAACATGAAACTGTTTCCTCATCCTCCCTGTCCTACTCTCAGCTGGAGCCTGGCTTTTTCCATTCCCATCATAACCTTTGGGTTTAGCAGACACCTTCTCTCCTCTGCCACAGATGCTGGGTGGGGTCCACACACTTCATTACAGAAAGCTGCTATAATTCAGTCTATGACTATTATTTTTTGTTTTCTCCTTTTTTTCAAATGCACTTTTAACGTCATGCTTTCCCAACATAACCCATTGTAATTCTGTCCACTATCTGAGACTGCAGCCAGTTGCCTCCTCCCACAGTACTGCAGAAGAACAGCTTTGTTGCACAATGTCCAGCATCTTTTGAAAATGTCGCAAGGCAGGGTGAGGTTCCTGGGTGGATAACCACTGAGGCACAGGGGTGCTACGCTGGGCCTGCAGTTTTCAGGCCATCAGCTTCAGCCTGGAGTGACAAACAGGAGTGACCGTGGGTGCATATTTATACAGGAGAAAACGGTTCAGTTTCCTCCTCAGGAGGCATTTCTTGCTGCTGCTACTGTCTAGGAGTCCAGATGATGAATCCAGTAAACTCTGGAGGCATTATAAACCTTCCTGTACAGTTGACAAAAGGATGAAACCGAGCCAAGGCATGCTTCTCCAGTGTTTTCCAACTGCATCCTTTTCTTGCTGGGCTTCACTAAGAGCCAGATGCTCTTAGTCCCGGCACAGGTTTGGGAGGACATTATCACACCTGCTGAAAAAAAGATAGTAAGATTGAACGTTATCCACATATTGGTGCTTTCAGATATTTTCTAGAACTTTTATACCTGCAAGATTGTGGGTAGATGGTGCTGCTCCAGCTCTAAAATGAGCATGCTACATGCAAAAATTACTTGGCATAGCAAATCTGTCATTTGTATCCAAACAATTCCAGTAGCTGTTTGTTTCAGTGCTTTAAGCCAATATATTTAGTGTTTGTCTGGATCCATACAGTCTGCTGTTTGAAAACTGCATTTTCAGGGTAAAGGAGAAAGGAAGAACCTTATCTGTTGCTGATTCCAGGAAAGATTTGAAATCTGAAATATCACTGAGTTCCTGTCTACCTTTCAGTGTGGTAGTTGGACTCAGTTCAATAGCAGTTTCAGATTGTTCCCTAGCCTTCATTGTTCGGTGAAAAAAAAACTAAAACAGGAAAGACCGGTTTCAGGAGAGGCTCTTGTATCACTGAAAAAGGCCCCACGGAGCACCTGACTCTGAAATACTCTTATTTATTATAAATAATTTCCATGGCGTCACGTTAACAAACATAAAAGGTCACGAACTCCTGTATTTGAAGCAAATGTGTTTGACATCTGGGATCTGGCAGAAGTTCCTCCTGTGGGATGGATTGTTTGCGCAGAACTTTATTGAAGAATAATATTAAGAATGAATTACGAAATATTAGTGTAACCTAGTAAGAAATCATTGTATGTTACAAGCCAGAGACATAATAGATCTCACAGAACTATTTTAGTTCATCTGATTCAAAAGCACATCAAGGAATGATAGCTTTGACCAGCTAGCAGTGAAAATCTGTGGGGTTTAAGCACTGCAGTTAGAAATGGGCCGGAAAGAGAGGTTCAAATGCAGGCAATAGGTTAAATGCATGTCTGTATTTTCGCTGCAACCCTGCCCTATGAAGGGAGTGAGGAGGGAATTGGCAGGGAGCCTCGGTAGCTGGGGAAGCTGAGGGGGAAGCCAGGCTGGGGAGCTGGAGGCTGTCACTCCTACAGTTTATCCCTCTCTCCCTTCTCTTACCCATGTCAGTGAAAACCTCACAGGAGCAGCCCTTTCCCAGTACCCGGGGGTTGCTCCCTGGGCTATTTGTGAAGCCCTGTCTCCCCAGGAGGTTCTCTGCCACTGGGTTGGGGTTGGTGTCACCTCCTGGAGCACCTTGGGTGTCTCCCCAAACACTGTTCCCGTCCCACTTGCCTGTGACACTGCCCAGAAATGCTTTTTTCAACACGGAAGAGGTGATGAGAAGCAGCTCTCCAGGTCCTCCCAGTCTCCTTGGGGCCTGGGTACCTGCCTGCCCAACAAAGGGCAGAACAGGCAGCCGACCAGGGACAGATGTCCAAACGCCTGTCCAGCCCCTTTCCTCCCTCCTCTTTTTTGGGACCTCAGGGCCAGGTGCTGCTGCCCTGCCCTGTGTTTTCACACCATCATCTCTCTGGGGTCTGCTCAGGGCCTCAGAGCTGGCCTCTCTCCTGAAAAAAGACACAGGCCTGCCCAAAGCGCACAGATGTTCCTCTCCCCGGGACACGGGGGCCAGCCAGGTGTCACCCACGCATAGAGCAAGGGCAACACAAAATAGGGACTTCCAGAAAGGGACTGAGTCAAGAAACTGGCCCAGCTTGTGAAGCACAAAAATAATTTATTGTTTGCAGTTGTAAAACTTTTTTTCTTTTCCTTCTTCTTTTATTTTCAGGTGAAAG